AGAGTATACACAGAGAGAGGGAGGGAAAGAAAGAGAGAGGGGGGGTAGAGAGAGTAGGAGAGAAATTGGAAATAGACAGACGAGAGTATAGGTGCATACAATGTAATATGTGTGTGCGTGTGTTAGAGAAAAACTGATAAATACCTTGGCTGAGTGGGACATAACATTCCAGGAGAGATAAGGAGATACATGTACTAAAAAAATTAATGTCTCCCTTCGAGAATCGAACTCTAGTCTTCTGCGGAAGAGCAAAGAGTTTAATCATTACGTCATAGAAACAGGGAAATACTTACTTTTATCTTTACTTTTTGTCCCCTTGTACCACTAGGTGTCGAGGGGAGATGCACTTGTCAGACGTGGGCCAGACGTGTTGCTGTTTAGAATAATTTAGATCGTCATGTTGTTCCTTTCGAGGGAGTCTTTAACTCTGTCGATCCATTTTCTTTATGGCCTTCGTTTCACCTTGAAGTTGAAACCTTCGAGTCGCACGCTGTGGCCTTGAAGGATGGCTCTTGTGCCCCGATTCTCATTACGTGCCCAAACCATTTCATTTGTTGACGCTCGATGCACTTTATGTTCGATTGGATGTCTACTTCAAGTCTGATGTTTTCGTTTCTTTGTCAGTCTCTTGTTGTGTTGCTAATAGTTTTTCTAAGACATTTCATTTCACATGCGGTTATTATATTTTGCTGCACTTTATTGAGGGTCTAAGTTTGGCACTGGTACTGGTAGCTGAGGGTTGATATGAAGATTGATTTTAAAAGTTGGTTCTTTGTTTTTGTCTTTGTCTTCATTTGGGATGTTTTGATGGGAGAGTATGTATATTAGTTGGTAAGTCACTGCGTTTGCCTTTTATACTCGTGTTTCAATTTCTCTGTTAATTTTCCTGTCTGATCTGAACATGTTTTCAATGTACCAATGTACAAGTATTTGAATTCCTGTATTTGTTTCAATGAAGAATCAAACCAAGCAGGAGCGCGGAAGTGCACGGTTCATATCAGTGAAATGTCCAAAACCATTCTTGTCTTTTGCAAAATATTGTTTGTGGACCAATATTCCGTAGAATGTCTAGATGCTTCGTTGTTGAAGTGGCATAGTCCTACCAGCACTGGTGCCAACTGGCTTCGAAACAAAATCGTAAAATGTCCGGACCCCATAGAAACACACGCAAGGGAACACACAGTATACGGATCATAAAGGTTAATATGTAATAATGTTATAACAAGTGTCAAGAAGTCGGGTAAAAAAGCACAAGTTTAGAAATCCATAACTACATGTGTTTTGAGGCCAAGAATTATTGTATGCCAGGTGCCAGCCATAGGTATGAAGAGGAAACGAGGAAACTGGAATACATGTATAAAAACAAGACAACAACAAACACCCCCCCCCAAAAAAAAAAACCGACAAGAACAGCAACAACAATAGCATCAAAAGCCACAACAGCAATAACAACTACTATGACGACGATATCTACAGCAACAGCAACAGTAGCAGAAACAACAAAGCGCACAAACTGAAGAAAGAAGAAGAACAAGAACAGCAACAACAACAACAACAACAACAACAACAACAACAACAACAGCAGCA